GGGGGGGGCAGAATAATGATTCACAGACGTAAAAGAGACAGACAGACACAAAGGTAGAAAAAAGGTGAGTACTGTGGAATTAGTCGAATATGAAATGCGGTGGGGTCTTGGTAGTTTGAAGTCAGAAGTCAACTGCCGATTAATAGACTTTTTGCCGTATGAGTATACGTTGCCCAGGGTGCACCACGTGGAGGTAAGTCTATCGCACACCCCAAATTTCGTTAAATAAAGATATTTATAACTGATAGCAAGCAACTGAATTCGCACAAGGGCATGCATACAATTCTAGCTGGAATTAACCATGCCTATCGAGAAATTAGATCAGTGTACGTCTGCCAAGTCGGGGGTCACGAACTCAACCTCAATTTATATTTTCCAGTAGTACTTAGTTGGCTTAGCTCTAAAGCATTAGCGAGTAATCGCTCTATTAAGTCCCTACGACCCTCACAGAGCACCAATATTAAGAAATAACGTGCTGCTGAGTTTTACTGACAGTAGAAATACATTGTCGATATAGTTAAAGATTAAATTAAAACAATGCAAAGAGCCAACAAAAACAAAAGACCAAAAAGAAAATTCTCTATTGCACTCATAGCTACACAAATTCATGTAGAACATAAATGCGAAAATAAATTGGCTGCATAACAGATCAGACAGCCAAATAAAAAAGAATTACAAATTCAAAAGTGATAATACCGGTAGCAAAAATAAGTCTCTGTACCCACAGTAGTGATAAAAGCAGATTTAATTAGAACCTAATGCCTCCGTCTCTCTTTATGGTTGTGGCTATGGTGATAATGATGACCGTGAAAATGTCTTCGCTTATCACGGAACCTTTTCTCCGACCAACTTCTCCGACGACGGCTTCTCGAATTGCATAAATCTATTTTTTGTATTTTATGAAGAACCGCGGAAGACGAAGAAACAGAATGAGACCTCTTTAATGATGATGATCCCAGAGGAATCCGTGGAGAGGAAGATTTCAAGAGAGGAACCTAAACAGATAACAAATGTTAAATTATTTCTTCAAATGCAATAAAGTTAGCAAAATAGTAGCAAAAAATATCAGAGCTTCGATCTAGAAATTAGACAGACCGTTGCTCTACTTTTAATCTCCCCTATTCTTGCACACAAATTAATTAGCATAATTTGTCGGCTTAATAAATAGGAGTGCTGATTCAGCTGCGATTAACAAAAGACTCACGTTCGAAGCAAATGTGGGCATTGAAGTCCGAGGAGTAGCACGAGGGAGTAGAGCAGTTGAATTACTGGAATCTGAAATGGGAAATTGCATTCGTCTGGTAGATAAATACATAAACCCATATATGTATATTTAAGGTAACTGAATTACTTAGCAGTGGACCATGAGGACTGCGCCAAGGAAATATGAATTTCTGATTAATGGAGTTGTTAGAAATTTGGGGGGCCGGGGAAGAAGCACGCCCTGCGGCTGCAGATTGTATTGCTTCCCTTCTAACCTTATCTAAGTCCTCTTGGGTGGAGAGCAAATCTTCGGGATTAACCTAAGTACAAAAAACGTTAAAACAAAGCCTAATTAAAAAATGTAAAGCTTAAAAGGATATTGCAAATGGAACGAAATCTAGTGGCCAATTCTCTCTCCACAGACCCTGTAGATTTGCATGCAATTTGATTTTGGGGAGATTGTATCCGCATAGTTTGTTAAGCTACGCCGAATATTTACGATAAATCATCCCCAAGCCAATAAAAATTACAAGAGCTTACCAATTTATATAAGAGTATGTATGGTTTCATAGAGAGGACCTCTTGAACATTAACTTCAGTAATGACTGAATCACTGATTCGATACCATTTGCCTCCGTGGTTAGTGCAAGCCACATAATGTCCGTTAGTTATTCCAGGGCCTTCATGAATAATCATCGCGTAGAGTTGATAATTTAAAGATGGGCCAGACACCGAGGCCATGTAAGGACGTAAATCCAAAGACAAGGGAAAGCGGATGTACGTGTGTATCTTACTAACGCCGAAAAATCTTGAAAATTTAAGACGTTAAGAATGAGGCATAAAATGTTACCTTATGAGATGGAAAGTTAAAATTGGAGGTGCTTTAAAGATTAAGTCCCGACGTTCCGCTGTGGAGGGAATCTTACAAGTGGCGCAATCATAATCATCAATTATTTCTATTCCTTTCTGGGTAGCCAGGATATGCTAGCATTTGGTTTAGTAAGCTAAAACCAAAACCTTACCTGCAATGAATAGCAATCTCCAATATTTAAAGGTACATGAACATAAGGATGTTCTACACAACTGACGTTTCTACAGGTCGAACAGGTAACTGAAAATTCATTTCATTAGACGCAATAATGACATACCTAGCTGCAACGTTGAACCATAGAACATCTTTTCGACAATATTCCTGCCTTTGGATTTTTTCCCAGCAGATTGTTCAAAACAGTTCACAAAACTTGCGACCACACCACTCAAATATTCTTGAGCATCTTCTTGTTCATAATGGTGGAACGCACCAAATTCTAAAGGAGTTAGAGAATTCATTGAAAATAATACATTACTTCCAAGATGGCACCGGAAATAAGAGGGAGTTATTGCTTTAGACGAGCTATTAGTCGTCTCCTTATAATTGGTTCTTACAAGGCGATGCATACCGCAAAGCGAGCAAAATTCACTTATTTTTGACAAAGAGCACTCAGTTGGTTTGTGCTTTTCCAATACGAAATACAAAAGAGGACCCGAGGCAAGCAAAGCCTGCAGCGTTGAGTTTTGATAGCAATAGTTGCCGAAATTAGTTAATCCCATGGGTACGCTAGGAACCTTTAGGTCTCCTTGGGAGCAATACTCCAGGACTTCCCTGTCATAAGCATCTTGAACTAACAAGGAGCAAAAAGATTAAGTTGTTTTGCATCTCATAATGTACCTCGACTCCTCGAAGTATCCGAAAGAACAGAGGTATTGTGCAAGTTCTTGAATTTTTCCTTTATTGATTCTTCTAAAGGCAAAGTGTTGGAGAAAACAAATGGAAGCGGTTTTCCAAGTAGGGTCAATGAAGTGGGAGCTTGAACGAATCTTGTACGATCACTTAGAGAAGCCGCAACCGTTTGGTTTAAATTCGTACAAAACCCGTTTGTATTATTGCTCAAATTGGCATGATTTGCTATTTGCTTGAAAGAAGCCACAGAACACGTGGTTGACATTAGAACCTAGAAATGCGTTACAATCACTATTCAAGAGGGCTAGTTGGGCGCTGCTAAGAAAAAGGAGCGGTTTAAAACAAGGGATGCATTTGCAGTTTTTAAACTAGTAGCTTTTGAAACAAGCTGAACTAATTAGACCATTGAGCTGATTGGAACATTATTTAATATTAATGTTTAATTTAATATTTATTTTTAAGTTGGTGGATTATTGGTTGTAGGATCTAATTTTGAGGTTTTTCTAAAATAGTGTCAGTAAAGCTTTGAAATCGTATTTCAATACATCTACAGTACGATTTATTTTTTCTTTTTTTATTTTTTGAAATATGGCTAAGTTGGTTACTTAAATGAGGCAACTTTCAAATATTTTTTCTTATTGATTTCAGCTTAGCTTACATTCATGTTACACGTTTTCTTCAACTTAGTCCAAATTTCATTATTATTGTGTTTAAAATTGTTCGCTTTTGCGGTTAATATGCTTTGAAAACCCTTTGAAAATATACTTTGAAAATAATTATTGCATTGGATGAATTGATTTCAAAAACCTTTATATTTACTCGATATGTGGAAATTATTTTTCTTGTTTTGAGTGGAGAACGAGTTATAAATTCTATAATATTGTGACTATCTTTCGCTTTTCATGATGATTATCTGTTTTGGTATGATTGATAATCTGGCCCGCAGATGCTGTGCCTATCCATTTTTATTGACTCAAAATTAATTAAACAATACTTAGCTTAATTGGTACTAAAAGATTTTCCTGCAACTTGTAATTTTTGCAGCTTTTATTCTTGTATCCCTTCACTTCTATAATGGATTATCCTTAACCTTTTTCTCTATAAAATTTATCAATATTATAAACCAATTGCGTAATGAATGATTTTCCCTATAGTCCTATCTTTTAAATCAACTGCCTCATATCTAGGAATATTTAATTGTATTTTTCTTGGAAATAGACAGTGAATTGGTTTGTTAATGAGTCTGTACATAAAAACTTGTTTAGAGAACACTAAAAAATTACTAAACTGTGTCAGCTGACTAAAATTGTTAGTGATACTTGGGAAAAATTTTTAGTTTTCATGAATCGTAGATGACACTCCCCTACGTTTCATTGAATACCCATGGACTTGTACTATTTAAATGAAGTCATTTAAACTTTACTGACTCGTTAGATATCGGAACAGAGCTCTTAACTAAAGTATAATTAATACTAATGATACAGTATATATTATCGTGATGTATGGGATTTAATTAAAACGATTAGCATTACTTTATTCACCCCCCACCCCCTGCTCTTCTTCTATTTTTAACTAACATTTATTCGATGGTTTTGATTCTGGGAGCTAGACTTGGAATAGAGATTTGTTATGAACTGCGTGGATAATTCGAGTTTGCATGCCTCTTTCTTTCTCCCAGTTATTTTTTGTATATTTGGGGAATGTCATCAACAATTGATTCCACTAACACTTCTATTAGTATCGGAGAGAAGTATAGTAACCAATTGGAATTCTTAATTTATCCGATTCTTCGATCTTTTCTGAGTAAGGTTATTAACTCCATGACGTTCCAAAGCCCAAATTTGTTCAGAAGGTATAGCATTCCACATTTGATATAAAATTAGTATCTTGACCTACCGACCAAGGTGAGCGTTTGACTAAACCGTCTTGGTACATCTACCCCGCATTAAGTTAAGGACCCACAGTTCAAATACGTTGTCCAAGACTGCGTCTTATTGGACTTACCCAAGTCCCGCTAACCGAAAAAGCTGTCAACCCGTACCAATAGGAGAATGCTACTCTTTCTGTGAGTTACTTTTAAAATCTACTTGCCCGATAACCAAGATATCAGAGAAAGGCGTAGAGGAAGCACTTCATCGAATTACCTGCTTTATTTCAAAATGCGTTGGCGTCTTGGTTCCACACGACTTCAACCCTCTTTCTATCGAGTCTGCCCAACTGTGAAACCTTAACATTATCATAATTTGGCTACCCTCCTAACTCTGCACCAGACTGGAGTTACATTGAAGATAAAAAACCCTGTAATTGAAGTATCCAAAACATGTCCATTATAAACAAAGAATGTGTAGTAATTAACACGTGACAAATAAAAGAGGACATCGAAATAAAAAGAGAATTGCTTTTGTTAGAAACAAATAGAAACTGTCAAGTGATGGACTACTATCTTCTAGGATTGCGAGAACGCCTGTTTCTACTTCGGGGCACCATCCAGCCATCATCTTCATTATCGCTTGACCCCACTTTTTTTGTAGTTATATCAGCAGTATCTCCATCTTTTGGGGAATCTTCGCCTATGGGTGATGTTGGCGATGTGCCATCCTGAAGATGAGCCTCTGGTTGAGGAGTACAGTCTATTTCTCCTCGATGCCACATTCTCTGTTTTGATTGCCAGTAATTATACCGCTCCTGTTCATTCTTTTCCGTAAGTATAGAAGACGTCTAAAAGCACACAAGTCGTTGGATAAAGCGAACCACTGATAAGAGGTCAAGTACTTGTTCAGTCTATTCAACTATTAAAACGCCTGCCATTTGCAATGAATGAATGAATATTTGACTACTAATTGGGGAGGATTTGCAGGTGAACTAGGCCTGCTTCTTCGTCTTCTTCGGTGTGATCTTAAAACCTCAAAAAAGTGACACAAATGTATGCTACAGTCTCCATAAAACAGAAATGAAAGGGGATATAATATGCCAATGACCCACCGTGGACACATTTCCTTCCACTTCTAGCGGCGACGGCGGCGGGAGCACCTCCTTCAGGTGAGCGGTCCTCGCCTCACTCTCCGCCGGAGAAGGTTGTTGTTGTAGAACACGCTAAGAGGCAAAAATTTTTGACAGGTAAGGAGCGCCTTCAAATACTGATAGGGAGAGAGAATGTAAACAGAAGACACATGACCCAGATGATATTGGCACAAAAAACCTCTTGGAGTAAAAAAATTAACTCGCATTCGTGAAAATTCAACATGTACTGCATCAAAATAGTCTGTTATACACAGCAAACAAAGTACTTTCTAATTGTCTATAATACGAGCCAAGTACTTCGAAGACCCCACTCCCCGTGGTGTTGAATGAAAGGCACTAAATTGAAAAGTTCATCTATTTCCAAAAAAACTCAAAATGCACCACCTGAAAGTGATATCCTTTACCAAAGGCCCCCCCCCCCACCCCACCAAAAAGATATTTTCAGAAACAAATTCGGAAATCACGTCAGCTCAAGATAATGATGATGATGTGTAATTTTTCACGATTCTCGGCCACGCTAAGTCGACTTGAATTCTTTGCTGTATTTATAACAGAGCACAACTCAAGTCAACTTATGGCTGTGTTTTCAACCAACGAAAATTGGAGATATGCAAAAGTCATCTTGGATAAGACCAGGTTGCCGCCCACGCACAACTTTGCATTCCGGTCCCCGGCTCAACAACAACACAACCCCCAGTACACGCCACGATCCACCACTACTGGGGTTCTCCAAAAAATCCTCCCGTGGGAACTTATTCGGATGGACGAACTTTCGGAAAACCCGGACGATACCCGATTTGACCAGTAAGGAAACTGCAGCTGTAGATTTGCTAGTAGAATACTGGAGTAACGTACCCAAAAAGGGGGGAATAGTAGGGAACGAAAGGGGAGGGGGTTGCGTGGTTGACTTCCCACTATCATCCAGCCTGCGTAAATTTATCGATCTAGTCATCTGTGATTTACGTGAGTGGGAAGTTTGAGAAAAAGTAGCAATGACCAGATTACATTAATGAAAAAAAAATCCTTTTCATGGCGCAATGCAATCGAATTAAGCCATTTACCCCTGAGCGTTGCCATTTGGGAGGCGGATTAGGATGACAGTGCTTCAGGAAAAATTGGCTGGCCTGTTGAGGAAGCACGGAGGAGGGCAGAAAGATCCTAAATTGTTCCACTTCAAACAAGTGGACACGGGCGAGGAAGTAGACGACGGGCAGGAGGTAGGGGAACCTGGAGTTCCAAAAAACGTTAATTTTCTCGTCATTGTTACCCATAAGTTGGCGTACATGGGGTGTTAGTGACCAAATGTGACTGCGTTTGTTTCGGATAGCTCGTAGGAGATGACTCACCGAATTACCCTTCAAAGGCAAAATAAGGCCACTCAGAACAAGCAAAGTTGGTACTTATCTACAGGACAATAATATTGTTCGAGCTTCAAAATAGCAACAAACTTAAGGTCTCCCCTTAAGCACGATGTGCCTACACTAGACACCGATAAACAGACTGTGGGACTCCACCAACACCATCCGATTCAATGCGGAGTTCGACAAGGTTCTAAAGACAACACACACTGATATGACGATAGCTGAGTACTGATTCCCTATTTTGCCTCTCAAATAGGCAGAGAGAAAGCCGTCTGACTGCGTCTCAAAGCAGCAGACTGATACCACCGACGTGATGAGTCTCGGTGGCATTAGGCGAAGGCTATGTTCATACGTATTGAACATGTTTCAAACGGCAATATCGCGCCTTCTGTTATGCGTCTAGTACCAATAGAGCTAACTCGGGAAAAGGATCGTAAGGTCCTACCTGTATAACGTTAAAGGGTTAAAAAGTAGAAAGATTTGAAAACAGAAGAGGTTTGGATCGACACCCCGTCCATGATCGAAAAATTGGTTTAGCTAGGTGAAAGAGTTGCAGATTATGGCTAAGTGTGAAATAGAGATGGATATGGAAAAAGCTGTGTAGATGGAGGCTGATGAAGGTCCAAATATTGAATTGAAGCTTGTTAGGAACAAACAGATTCCTGCATATATCCATGAGTGTAATTTACTACGGTCCATTGCAACAAAGGTCTTGAAGTTCTTCTCGACACGGTGAGAAAGCCAATCCTAGGATTGCACTCATGTAGATCAAAGATACAAGACAACTGGCTGGACAAAGGATTTCTCTGGGAAATCGGGAAACCAATCCACTCTTAACCCACTACTGCACTTCCTCGTTCACATAATGCAATTATAATAAACAGAAAATATTTAATGAACGCCACTTACATAATGTCGCACGGAAGTAAGATCTTCCAAAATTATAGGATCCAAAAGGTTCGACCAGTTGTAAGTGAAGACGGATCGGCGATATCTCTCCAAATCCCCGGCCAGCGCCTGACGAGAATTACTGAAGGGTTCTGACTCCACCACCACCTCCTCCACCTCCTCCACAGGGTTTTGTGGATTTGGTTGTGAGCGCGGAAATGACCCCGACGAATGGAAATTAGTACTTTGGTTAGACCTGCGCCGATAATGCCCCCCAGATTGTTGATTTCTGGAAATGCTTGAATCATCCAGGAAATTGGAGACATCCTAAAAACAAAGTATAGTAAGATGGCAATAAAGTGCCGCACTCCCATAATTACCCAACTCTGGCAGCTTATTTATGTTAGTACCGATTAGGTCGTTTGAGTGAAAACACTAGGATTAAGACTTGAAGTGGACGGAACCACCCCCCCCATCCC